GCCTCCCAGCACCCTTTGACACTGCTGACATCCTACTGATGTTGTTTGACTGGATTCTTTATCTCTGCCAGCCCCAGAAAACAAATGTCACATGCCACAGCAATAATGCAGATGTCACCCTGCTCCTTCTGCTGCCAGCAAAGGAGGCAATCAGCATGCTGCCAACACAAAATGCTTCCTTTATTTTGGTATCAATCTTAAAATCATTAGGAAACCAGCAGTGAAAAGACCACATCCCTTTTCTTAACGCTATTTCTTCGGTTAGCATCGTGTGGTCATGTGTGAGCAAACACAGAGATGGGCAGAATGAGAAGGAAAAGGCAGAGATCCGAGTTGGATGATGTGGCAGAGCATATCCTCAGCAAGTCTACTGATGACACAAAGCTGGGAGGAGTGGCTGATAAGCCCAAGAGCACCTTGACAGGCTGGAGAAATCGGCTGACAAGAACCTCATGAAGTTCAACAAGGAGAAGTGCAAAGTCCTGCACCCAGGGAGGAACAACCCCAGCCACCAGTATATGCTGGGGACCACCCAGTTGGAAAGTACCTTTGCAGAGAAGGAGCTGGAGGTCCTGGTGGACACTAAGTTGACCATGAGGCAGCAATGTGCCCTTGCGTCAAAGAAGGGCAACAGCCTCCTGCACTGCATCAGGCAGAGCACTGCCAGCAGGTTGAAGGGGGTGATCCTTCCCCTCTGCTCAGCACTGGTGAGACACACCTGGAGTGCTGGGTCCAGTCCTGGGCTCCCCAGTACAAGAGAGATACAGGACTACTGAAGAGAGTCCAGCAAAGGGCCACTAAGAGGATTAAGGGACTGGAGCATCTCTCCTATGAGGAAAGCACGAGAGAGCTGGGACCGCTCAGCCTGGAGAAGAGGAGGCTCATACAGGATCTTATCAATTTATATAAATACCTGAAGGGAGGGTACAAAGAGGATGGAGCCAGGCTCTGCTCAGTGGTGCCCAATGACAGGACCAGAGACAATGGGCACAAACTGAAACAGAAGGGGCCCCTTCCGAATATCAGGAAAAACTTTTACTGTGAGGGTGACAGAGCACTGACACAGATTGCCCAGAGAGGTTGTGGAGTCTCCTTCCTTGGAGATATGCAAAAGCCATCCGGACACAGTCCTGGGCAACCGGCTGTAGGTGGCCCTCCTTGGGCAGGGGTGTTAGACCAGACAACCTCCAGAGGTCCCTTCCAACCTCAACCATTCTGTGATTTTATGACCTCTGTTACTGATGTACCACAGAAAAGTGTCTGAGAGACTTACTGGAGTGTGGGAAAAGAACATTCCAGGAAAGAAAAAAGGTTGTTAGATGGATATAATGATTCACTGGAGTTGTAGGTTAAAAATAAAATCATAGTGGTGTGAGGAAAACAATGCCACTCTAAGTCTTCCATTTCCTTCCCCACTGATTTGTAAAGAGGAACAGTTTGATTTGGAAAGATAGCAAAAAGAAAACAGGAAAAGGAAACTTATCTGATGCACCAAAATATGTGGAACTACATATATTTTATAAAGCTTTAAAAATATTCTTTTTATTAAAATTGCATTTTTAAAGCTGAGATCATGTGACAGTTTTATAGAAAAGATTATTAGACATGCCTTTTTTTAGGCTAGGGAATTTCAAGCATTGTTGAAGAAAGCAATAAAGTAAGTTCAGCAAAATCCCACTGGACTCTTTCCTACAACACTAACTCAGTGCAACTTCCCATTAATGGCGCACTCTACCATTCTACATCACTCCTGACTCTGAACTTCCCTAATTTAGGCAATCTGCCTTTCCCCCATCAAATCTTTCTACGAGCATTCCTGTCAGCACTAGCATCTATCAACTTCACCTTCGTAAGTATGACAGCCTACACTGGAGATCTGCTCTCCTTCCAGTTGATCTTCAGCTGCGGGGGCAGCTTCACCAATGCAATTCCTTGAGACTGACAGAATGAAGCAATAACATCTGCACCAGAATAAGTTACCTAAGCCTCAAGCAGAAAGAGCCCAACTATTGAAAACACCATCTTTACCTGTCTCCTCAGTCTCTCCAGCTGCCCTGTGAGGTTATCACTGAAGAATGTAAACTAGGAAAAATCCCCAGTACAACGTGAACTAAAAACTTCCAAATACTTGTTAAAAAACACTGATAATATTGAAGTCATTCACCTCTCCTGAGAAACCCACAGACAATATATCCCACAAAGCGTATAGATCTACCTACCTTTCTCCGCCATTCTTTTGGTATGCCTGTCGGCAATCTGGCCACTGCTTTGAGCGCATCATGCCACTAAAAGCAAAAGCATCCAAAAATGTATAAAATCCACCATTAGTTTAATGCAACAGTAAGGCAACATCTACAACACTACAGACATGCACACTCATTTCGTTTTACTGCACGCATTTCAGAGTTTAACTGCTTAATCCACTCACAGGGAAAATACAGATTAATTACTTAATGATATAACAAAAATATAATATTCTAGGACATGAAGACTTATGAGATATCTGAGTAAACAATGAAAGCCTATTGCATTTTCCAAATACTAATGGAACATCTCTTGAAGCAATTGCAAATAATATGCTGACATTATGATGACAGATGCACTTTTGAACTAGGGCAAGTACCTTGATTGAAGAGAACCCAGTCCTTCATAAACTCAAGAGAAAAATGACTCAAATTACCTGCTGAAAACCATTTTGACCTAAAGATGGTTCAAGAGTGAATTTCAATTTTGTATCAACCCCTAAAAACAAAAAGGAAAAAAAAATAATCATGGTCATTATTTTCATTTAGCTCAGAGGGAAAAAAAAAACCACAACTGAAATAAGAACACAAGATTTCAGCTACATGTTTCAACAACTACATTTCAACCTGTTTCTGTGAATTCTTGTCTTCACAGTGGATTCAAGGCACATGGTAAGAAGTACATGGACAAAATGTTTTTAAAATGCAGTAATACCCTCTTTACTCTAATGATGTAGTTCGGCACAACTCATTTCACCGAACATGTAGTTCACTACTCTGCAAACTGTATTTGCACACTGCAAACTATCACATGCATCCACAGAAAAAAAATATATACAGAGACAGTTTCTTTCCATCTATTTCAACTTCTTTACATTAAATCACTCAGAACTCATTTCTAAGTTTGGGGTGCTGAAATTATTTTATTGCTCAGAATATCAATTTTTTTATAATTCCTCAGAACATAAAGCACATTTGGTCAGTATTCTCATTTAAGCTTAGATTTTATTTTGGCCTTATGAGCAAACTATTTTAATTGTTACAAAGCACACCTGCTAATAATCTATACAATACAATATTACGTACAATATTACATAAAATACTAGGATCTCAAGTTTGGCCTACAATGGATCCTGATTGTGGCACTGGAGTAAGCCATAACATGAAGAATAGTAACACTTTTAATTTGCTTTACATCCCACGTTTTGCATGTACAATTCTTTGGTCCTTCAAATGCCGCTGTCCAGAGCTCAGGTGCTGAACACCGCGTCGTATCGCATCCCCTCCCTCGAGCCTTCTGGCATAAAGAATAAAGCCTTTCGTTATTTTTCCTCCATAATTTAATACGATGTATTGCTCCATATTTAAAATTGTTATGCACAGCTTTTTGTCTTTCTAGAATGTCAAGCCAACCGTTTTGTAATATATATTTTAATAGCCATATATATAAATATATATTAAAAAAACCCCGATTTTAATCCTGCAAGGTTTTAAGATATAAAATCCATGCTAATCCTCACCAGTAATACTCAGTGCTTTGGAGGACTAAGCCTGCGAGACTGACAAAACCCAAACTGTAGTGGCATTTGCTAGATAGGGAATGTAAAATGCCTTTCAGCATTTGCATACTGAAGTGGTGGTAAGTAATTTAAAAGTCTTACTGCCTGATAAATATATATTTAAAGACAAAGCCTTCTCCTTCAAGACTTTTTTTTTCCCCTTTGGTGGGGGGGAGAGGGAAGAGAAAGAAAGAAAATTCACACAAAAACCAGTATTCTTTAGAATTTTAGCATTTTAGAATTGCATCACTGAGACCTGGTGATTGGTGCTTTCATTTCCCTGCTTCAGATTTAAAAGACATGCTTGTCAGATCTAGAAAAATAAAAGCTTCAAACCATAATAGAAATGTCTTGAAAAACATTAAAGGATTAACAGTTATTCCTGGAAGTAACTGTTTATTAGTATTCTTCCCCATAACTCCATGGCATTCAGCAGGGACTCCTAATAGATAAATCTTTTCATAATAATTCAAAGCAACATAACAATGCCAGTAAACCTACTAAGATGACATTGTATCACGCTTGCTGTAAATGCGAAAAAGTGAGTCTCATTCCCAAGCAATCTAGTGGTAAGTACTGGAAAACCCTAATACATACAAAAAGATATCATGACCAAGAACTCCTTTTGTTAAGGTAACGGATGTTGACGTGTTATCTAACACTGCCTTGTAGCAAAGAAGCAATAGCCTTCCAAAATAAACATGTATTCATTTCCAGCTCAGCAGCCAAATATTAATCACCTCACAGTTTTCTAAGACTTAAAAGATCCTGGTAACAACTTCACTCTTTGTCTTACAAGCTTCCTAAGAAAGACACAAGCAGAGACAGCCAAGTCTGCAAAAGATCAAGCCCAATAACATATAACCTCAGAGTAAGGCAAAATGTATCTGTCATTTACATGAACGTCACGACCAGGGAGCTCACACAGGGGCCCAGATAGCTGTCTCTCTTGATTAAATGAGACTGAAATGAGACCCTTCAACCTCCATCTACAAAAGTTTATTAAATCATGACAGACAACTGAGACAGGTGTGAAAATTACTAGAAATGAGAATAACATCACGTGGTAACACCAGACTACATGGTGCGCTCTCTTCAGTACGGCAAGGAACCTCTCGGTCAGGCCATGCACTGTAACCTCTTGTAGAAGCCATGGAGCCTGTGTCCCCTTATTTGTTCCCAGTTAGAAATATTCCCAAAATCAAATTATGTGACGGTTTTGTGACAGGGTAGGGGAAGAGCCATGGGGAGTGAGCCACAGACCATACAGGAACGGTTCCTCATTCCTATCTATTTCAAAGAATTTACATTTCCTAAAACCAAAAAATTACAACCTTGTTCAATAAAAATACAGCAAGTAAGCAAGTAAAAAAAAAAAAAAAAAGCTGCAACACAAAGCGCACAGACAGTGCAAGGAAAGGGTACACCCACCCAGGAACTTCCTTCTGCAGGAAGGCAACCAGCAAGCTGGGAGCAGCATCTCGTTGCCTGTTACTTATTTCTGGCACAAGAACCATCTTGCTCTGTGCAGTTTCTGCACTCTTCACTGAATTTGTCCTTGGACTTTAGAGCTTCAAGGAAATCAATGCCTGTCCCTATTCTAGCCTCTCTTGGTTTCCCAAACCTTCCTACCTCCATCGTTCCCCTTTTCCTAACAAATCTCCCACCCCTGCATATACTACTTTTTTTTTTTTTTTTTTTGCACGCAGTCCTGTCATTTTCATCCTGTCCGCTTTTGCCTGGATCATCACCAGCCTCTCCCCGGGGCCTTCTTCCACATACAGTCTTTTCTCCCTTACACTTCCATCGTCTGCTACATCTTACCAGCAACTCCCTTTAATTCTGCATTCGGTTGCCTTCTCCCCACAAACTAACTTAGATTCCCTGATAGCTTCTTCCCCCCTCAGTGCCCCACACCCATCCAACCCTACCACAAACCTTCGGCACCTGTTTTCACTGGATTTTCCCCTTTTTGTCAATCCTCCATCTCTGGGCCACATTCCTCTCCCTTATGTAAACACATGCCCTTTGCAGAAGAGACCCCTTGGGCCCTCACGGGAACTTTTCTTCCCAGCTCCTCTGCATGGACAGCCTGGCAGAAATGTACCATATACGCAGCAATAGTTCCTACTCTCCGGGACTGTAAGCGCTGTCAGTACAACTCAGCCCTTTTACACAAAGCCAGCCAGGCTATCGTGCCGTTTGACGTATTAAGTATCACCTCCAGTTCATACACTTTCAGCTGATGCTTCATGCCTAAAAAGCATATTAACTCAAGTAAGCAGGAATATGTTGGGAACCCATATGAATTATTAGCTCCACAAATACAAGCACACATAAAGGTACATAGGTTTGGCACCAGTCAAATTTCTGAAAGGTAGGGGAATGCCAAAATAAGGCCTGTTCGATGCCCTTGCAACCAGGTCACCAGAAACCACTGCAGAAAAGCTATTTAAAAAAAGAAAAGGAAAAAAAAAGAAAAAGAAAGATAAAACCCCACAAAACCCAGTCCCATTAGCTTTTCCATGTAAAATACACGACTCCTGACAACAAAAGGCTGTAAGAGGGAAGATTATACCCCTAGGATTCCCAAACCCTAGCGGTCTTCCACTGCATGACCAAAATGTAGCACAGGACCACATAAAGAGCCACAAGAGGGGTGAAAAATGTTGTGGTCAGCCAAGCACCTGGGTGAAGGAATCAAATCCCCACTCCTCAGCAATATTAAACAAAAGGATGGGGCAAAGTCTGGGATTTTTTCAGAAATACTAAACCAGAAAAAGCGTAGGAAGGTGATCTGTTCTGATGCACGTATGTGAGCTATAAAGCCATAGCTTCAAACTTACAAAGCACGTCACCGTAGGTTCTTGGCTGTACTTAAAAGGAGCTGTTGAAACCTCCCCCATGGAAAGCCAATAAATATTTTATCGAAAACAAACAAGGAAAAAGGCCTAAAGCAGCTTTGTGTGCAGTGGGAGTCCAAACTTAGGGAAAAAAGTAGCAACGTAAACTACCATCTTATTGTCGCTTGTTGTTTCAGGAAGATTCTTAGCCTTGCTCTGTAATTTATCTCTAAATGTAGGTTTTCATCTGCAAAATGAGAAATAAAAGCAACATTCTGAATAACTCTGCATGATATCACTTTTGTCAGGAGCCAGAGCTCACTGGGATGTATCAAAGCACATCTAAAATATGCAGTCTACAGAAACTTCTCAATACAAACAGACAACTGATACAGACGCTAAGAAAATCTGAAGGAAACTTCATTCAGCTTATTTTTTAAGGGCTTGTTAGGTGCCCCATCTCCATCACTCTATGAAAGCATGCATCCTGAATGATGTTATTGGGTTTACTTACATATGAACAATATGGAAACCCCAACCCAGTGGGATTTTCTAGCTTTAAGACTATGGCGCTCGTGGTTATGCCTCCGATCATTTCCCCTGGTCTTTGTGGGAGTGTAAGGAAAAGAATTTCATTATCCAGATAACATCATTACCTAGGATATTAGAATACTACTGTAGGAGCAGGGGTCTGTGAGAATTACGAGTCAGGAAAGCTCCTTGATAACAGCAAACCCGTAAACCTATACCAGAATACCTCTGAGACCTTATTAATAATAGCATCCAAAACTCATCTCAAACACAGAAGCAGTCAGCATTGTGTGCTTGATGCACACACAGCCAGTACCACGGGAAACTGAATCTTACATATATTTCTATGCATTGCTCTACGTTTCACTAGACCTCAGGCTTGCACGTTTTGTAAATGCCTGGGATTAGGCAACAGATCAACAACATGTTAGCCACAAGGGACAGCTCTAACATTGTAAATTGAATTTAAATGTTCAATACTTCACAAAAAACCAAATGATCCAAAATTTTGATGGCAGGCAACTAGAACGCAGCATTCAGTAATGATCACCCATCGGTGCTTCTGC